CCTCTTTGGCCCCATAATCTCCTTGATCAGAAAATTTGGGACACTACTGAGTTACATGACGTTACAGTACAAGTTCTCATATGTCCTGAGTCTTAAGTGACCTTGGAAGGCTAGGGCCAAAATGTTGGCTTTCCTTGCGGCCCTCCTTTTTCTCTAATTTTGGTCTGCAAACTTAGGTTGTTAACCATCCAGAATATTTTAGTATATGTGCTGCCGAAGTGAGCACAACCATCCAGAATAAAAGCTTATTGTTATTACCATACAACCTAGGCTGTTAAGCTTAACCTCACTATCAGTCTGAATAGCAAACATCTTAGGCATAAAATGGAACAGGTATTTTTCGTCAAGTATTTTTTTTTTTTTTTTTTGGCTGAGCTGGGGATTGAACTCAGGCCCTTGAGCTTGCCAGACAAGTGATTATTCAACTGAGCTATCTCCCCGGCCCCTTCGTCAAGTATTGATATGTTGAACTTTAAGTGCCGCCCCGGGCTAGGAGTGGGCCTTTGATTTCCTTTTCCCAGGAGAAAAAGCTGGTAGATTTTCAAAACTATTTCTCTACTTAAGTTGGGCATTGAATCTCTTCCTCCTGCCTATTGTTTCTTGAATGTTCTATCTTTAACACAGAATATCTTTTTTCTCCTTTACATATAAAGTACTTAGTGATAATATTTTAAAGTAATTTCTTAATTATTTAGATTAGGCATGTATAAAGAATTGATTGGGGCTGGGGAGATGGCTCAGTAGAATAAGCGCTTCTCTGGTGAGCGCAAGGGCCTGAGTTCAATCCCCGTTCCGGGAAAAAAAAAAAAAAAAGAATTGATTGATAATTACTTTTTCATTCTAGAGAGAAGGTCTTTTTTCTAGATTGTGAAATATTTGAAAATCAGAATAAGCGATTTCATTGTCTGATTGCTCTGTGTGTGTTTGTGTGTGTAGCTTCACTACTATTATTATTTCTTTTCACTGAATGCACAGTGAGCAAAATATCTGCTGAGGATGATGGATTAGTGCTGAATGTTGACGGAATAGATGATCAGGAAGTTGTCCAGCCTGAAAACGGAGAACAAGATAATACATTCCGAGAGGATGTTCCAGAACAGGGAAAAGATACTGACAAGGAAGAGAAAACAGAGCAAAATAGCGAACCATGTACCAGCTCTAGTTCTGAATCCGATCTCCAGGTAACAAATGAAATATAAACCATAAAAGAAAGCAGACATTAATTCTGTAAGTTCTACAGCTTTGGATTTCTGTTGTATTCTTTTTTTTTTTTTTAAATCTTTTTTTTTTT